GCTCATAACCAGGAAGGCCTGGTGAGGCCTGTAACCTGGCGACCACAGTATGTGGGAGCTCATAACCAGGAAGGCCCCTTTGAGGCCTGTAACCTAGCGACCACAATGTGTGGGAGCTCATAACCAGGAAGGCCTGGTGAGGCCTGTAACCTGGCGACCACAGTATGTGGGAGCTCATAACCAGGAAGGCCTGGTGAGGCCTGTAACCTGGCGACCACAGTATGTGGGAGCTCATAACCAGGAAGGCCTGGTGAGGCCTGTAACCTGGCGACCACAGTATGTGGGAGCTCATAACCAGGAAGGCCTGGTGAGGCCTGTAACCTGGCGACCACAATGTGTGGGAGCTCATAACCAGGAAGGCCTGGTGAAGCCTGTAACCCAGCGACCACAGCATGTGGGAGCTCATAACCAGGAAGGCCTGGTGAGGCCTGTAACCTGGCGACCACAGTATGTGGGAACTCATAACCAGGAAGGCCCCTTTGAGGCCTGTAACCTAGCGACCACAATGTGTGGGAGCTCATAACCAGGAAGGCCTGGTGAGGCCTGTAACCTGGCGACCACAGTATGTGGGAGCTCATAACCAGGAAGGCCTGGTGAGGCCTGTAACCTGGCGACCACAGTATGTGGGAGCTCATAACCAGGAAGGCCTGGTGAGGCCTGTAACCTGGCGACCACAGTATGTGGGAGCTCATAACCAGGAAGGCCTGGTGAGGCCTGTAACCTGGCGACCACAATGTGTGGGAGCTCATAACCAGGAAGGCCTGGTGAAGCCTGTAACCCAGCGACCACAGCATGTGGGAGCTCATAACCAGGAAGGCCTGGTGAGGCCTGTAACCCGGTGACCACAATCAGTGGGAGCTCATAACCAGGAAGGCCTGGTGAGGCCTGTAACCTGGCAACCACAGTATGTGGGAGCTCCCACAGATGTCTCTCCGTGGCCACCATAGCACCGACAGAACAGCAGATTGCTTGGTGGCCCGGAGTCCCGCAACAGATCGGTCTGGTAGGCCTGAGGACCACAAGGGCGTGCAGAACCGCACCTGCCTGACCTGCTGCCGTGTACGCTCTGTCATTCAAGCATGAAGATGTCTTGAGCAGCTTGGATGACAGGGTCAGAGCTCTTAGTGAAGAGGACCAACCAGAGACGAGATAGTTAGCCAACGTCTCGTCCACTGGCGGCCTCGACACTTATCCGTTCTCCACGGCTCCCTCCACAGCAGCGAAACTAGCCCGCTGATGCAGATAGAGACGTGAGGAGAACGGATTTTTCCATACCCTCTCGATCCCAGCGTGGAGATCGGAAACGAATGGAAGGCTCATCCGGGCTGGTGGCTTATGGGTGGGGAGGAACCAGCCATCCAAAATACCATGAGCGGGTTCCTCCCAGACGCGCCTCCACTGCAACAGCAATCTGTCTGAGGCGCGCCCCATAATGTCAACCAGCTCAGCGTACACTGGGCAGGAGGGCTGAAATGATTCGGTCTCAACCAAACTGACATCCTTTTATATATATATATATATATATATATATATATATATATATATATATATATATTACAGCCAACTCCTGCCCTGCCCAAAGAGAACAGTTACAGATTCACCAAAGAGAGAAAGCGCTCATTTTCTCTCTTCTTAGATGTTCAACATTAATCTGTAACTCACCCTCGTCAGATCATCCGCGAGGTTAACGCCCCTCTCCCGATAATCTGCCAGCTCCATCTGAAAGCTCCACGAGCTCAACCGCCACTGAGCCTCAGCCCGAGCGGGAACCGGAACCGCGGGGTTCAGATGCCGCGCCCACTTCCCTCGAGAAGTGGGTCAGACGAGAGCAGAGAGTTCTGAAAGGAAAACTCTCAGTTTGCGCAAAAAACTCCCTCGAGAGCTTCCCGCGAATGCTCTTCTCTCAGGCAGAACACGCACAGATCGTGTGAATCCTCCGGTGTCAAATATCTGGACACAAGTCGGCACACTCGCGCAAAGTGTTTCTCCACGTCTCTGCGCGCTTAATCGTTGATACTATCAAACAGACAAACAGTCCCTGAAGACGAAAAGATGTTGTCACGGTTTCAAGGCGCCCTTCTTATACATCCAGATTGACGCGCTCATCATTCAAGCTGATGATGCACGGGCTGTCGCCGGTCAACCTGATTACTGTGAGTTGATATTTGATTTCAGACACCTGTCACGCCTGAGGCGTTCCCCCATAGCGTCATTCGACGTATTGTTGAGTTCCCTTCGAAAGGGAACCTATATAGTATTTGTTACCAATTATTTTTGCTTACTAGTTATTTTTTTGCTGTTGCTCGCAGGCTTTCAGGTTCCTTTACTGAAATAAAACAGTGCTTGTATCCTCCAAAACAATAAATAGCCTGGCCTACATATATATATATATATATATATATATATATATATATATATATAGCATATATATATATATATATATATATACATATATATATATATACACACTTAATTGCTCAATACCTGGTATAACACAAACTTCTGACTAGACATTCAAAGGCGAACTATTAGTCTAAATCAATATATGTCTAATTATTCTTAAATTAATTAAATCTGCCTGATGAAACAAATGACTTGAACACAAATTATTAACAATTATTTCAAATATTTTATTAATTTTGGAGACATTACCAAGAATACAATTATATTTCAATTCAATTACCAGAGAGACATACTGATACAGACAGACAGGCATACGATTCAGACAGACAGGCACACTGATACACATACACAGTGATACAGACAGACATATTGATACACAGCCATACATACTGATACAGACAGACAAACTAATATACATACACAGACATACTGATACAGACAGACATACTGATACAGACAGACAGGCATACTGACATACATACAAAGACACACTGAGACAGACAGACATATTGATACACAGACAGACATATTGATACAGACAGACCTTCTAATATACATACACAGACATACTGCTACAGACAGACAGACAGCAAGTCTGTCACCAATTAGAAAATAAATAATAATAATTAAATGTCAGGGTTTTAAAATGATGACACTCTTACATTTTTCTTTGTCCTTAACCTCAGACATGAAAAAGGGCATGACCTCTCTGTTTTTAAATGTAAAATAGAATGGGGCTCTTAATTTATCATCCTCATCCAAAGTTGTGGCACAATGTGAATGTAGTGGAGAAAGGGCTTTCTTCCTCCTCCATGCTGTCAATGCGTGGTGGCAAGGACTTGATCTTCATCAGCGGGTGATTGTCCTTCAACCATTCCACACCTTTCCTGATGCTGCTCATCATATTGGCATTCTTTATGAAAAATATTTGAAAATTAACAGCAATCAACAATTTTATATTTTCAGATAAATAAAACTTCTAAATATATTATATACATTGCAGAACTCTACAAAATACCTCAAGATTGTGTGGTGTCGTGTCCCCCTCCAGCGCTCCTACTCCATACTCAATTTCTCCTGGTCCATTCATCTGTTGTAGAAGAGCACAGTGTGATGTAATGTATTTCAATTGTCCACTACAAAATGTTTAATTTAATAAAATGTATAATTTCATGCATATGCAATGCAGAACCAAACTAAGATTTGATTTACTTCTAATTTGCACAAAAGAATTCATCTATTTGAATCAATCCATTTTACAAAAACAAACAAAAATAACAAAGGTCAATGTCCCTGCCCTAATACAGGGTGTCCACCAGTTAAGACTTTTAAGCCCTTTTTAATACCGCATTATAAAACTACAACATTACATTTAGCAAGAACATATATTAAAAGTAGTGCATGCCTGTAATGATCAGACTAGCTCTAGACCATTTGGCTTGGGGCACATGTGTGTTCACAGGGGTCTTTTAGGGTCTTTCAAGGATCAACCCTGCAACAATGGGACTTGGTGTGTTTTAAGAACCCAACTGATATCTGTGTCCCCTGAAAGTCTAAGTATAGAATATTGGCGACTGACAATAGGATAGATAAATAAATAAACAAAATACTTTGACAACAAAAGCTCACTTCACTGTCAGTGAGGCAAGATCCAACCGCCATGTGCAATCCAACCGCCTCCGCCCAATGTGCAAGCCACCTTCCATGTCTGACAAAATACAAAAAGACAACAATGAGAACAAAGTTGTGCAGAATACTGAGTCCTGACCAAGGACTGTCCCTAAAGTTAGTTTACTAAAAGTCACTCTGGATAATAGTGTCTGCTAAATGACAAATAATAATAACTAAACCCTAGAAACAAAATTCTCCATGAGGAGAAGTAGGCACCACTTATTGTGTCATGAATGTCATGCTGAGAAAAAAGCAATACTTCCATGAATACTATTAACAACAATAATATTAATATAACGTAGAAATAAGACTTACAGCAGTGAAATCAACGGGTTCATTCAATACGATGTGTAAAGCATACTGAAACATTCATTTTACAATATATTTTTGATAACAGAGTGGAGACAGACTGATAAAAGTCCAATAACTTACCATAATCATGAAGACCCGACAGGATGTCATATCGAGTTGATGGGAGATATGCTGAAATGGCAAATTGCATTTCGAAAAACAAAGAAATCAATCAGGACGTTAAAGTGTCCCGAAAACAAGACAACAAAATACCCTTACTTTTTTTTTTTTTTTTTTTTTTCTTTTTTTTTCATTTTGATCCAACGGCCTGGTGCTGCTGTTATAGCAAGTTTCCTGCGACATGAATATATGTTAAATAAAAGAATGATTTGTCCAACAGCACTGCTGAACTGACTGCAGTGAAGACAATTTAATAACTTATTCAAAACGAGCGGATAAAACTGCTATAGTGAAACTGCGCATGCGCGGGGTAAAACTGCTGGGGTGAAACTGCTGGGGTAAAACTGCGGCTCTGCGGCTCTGCAGTCAGACCCTTCTCGAGTTTTTTGACATACGTCGGCATGACATCAGAGCCAGGCGGACCGTTCTCGGACACATTTCTAACCGGCATGCATCTCGCGCTGATCACCGGTGATCGATTCTGCGCAGAATTTGCTCATCTCAAACAAGCCTTTTCGTTTCAGAGGTGGACGCATCAAGACCCGCCCTCTTCTGACTCTGGCCCTGAACCTGATGGTATATTAAACAAATCAATCAAACCAACAATGGCAGCGAGTATTACCCAATCAAAAGGGTAGAATAGGACGAGTCTTCACAGAATGCGGGTGGCATGATTTGCATGGGGTTCGGAAATACGGGACAAACCGCGTCCCGTATTGATTCAAAACGGGACGCGCTGTTTACTTCACAAATACGGGACGATTCCGTATTTTAAGGGACGGGTGGCAACCTAACAAGCTCCGACGCCTCGCTTCAAATGTCACATCACTAGCAAACACTGACACTCTGAGCTGTGTGATTTTGAAGAAGCCTGAAAATAAGACTCATGCAGAACTATTACCATGTAAGTTTTCATATTTTTTAAATAAAACACCAGCTTGTGAGTTTTTATGTTCGAATATTTTGTGTGTTTGACTCTCTTGGTGTAGGTAACATGTTCTAAGACCTATGGCCATCAGAAGAGTTCATTTAACACAGGGGATTTTGCTGTTCCATAGAGATGACATGCTATGATTATATAGGCTATAGTTCGGTTAGTAATATAATTGTCAAATGTTTTAGCATTATTTCTCCGATTGGTTGGTAGCAGGAAAAATTACTTCTAAAACCTGTTACTTGTGTGTTTATTAAATATAAATGTATAATTTTCACCTTATCGATCGCTCTTTTTGTTTTATTGTAAAACATCGTGTGTATCAGTCTGAGAAACGTTATCCCGATCGACATCGCTTTATCGCAGACACACTCGGTTACCTGCTTCATTTTTCTGTTTTGGAGGAACATGAGCAGGAGTCTAAATCACAGATCTGAAGGAAGCGTCTGCAAAGTGCAAACCCCGAAAATAGTTACTACAAAAATGTTCAATAACTTCAATATACCCGCTCGCTGGTATGCTGTTATGGTTTGTATGAGCTTTTCCTTCCGTCACTCACAGCGCCCGGCCCTTAGAGACGCGTAATCTTCCTTATTCCTGAGTGCACCATCGTGTCAGAGAACACGGGCTGCCCTGCCCTTCTCATCTATGCTTTCTACTGCAAACAAAATTCGCATACGATTGTTTCGCCCCCTAGTGTCACGATGGTAAAATGAACGATTTCATCAAATGTAATAATGCATGAATATATCCACACAAATCAAATGATAAGATTAAATATCAAGAGTCTGTGTAATATGTGTTCTTTTATCAATGTTCAGAGCCTGGTTTGTTTGTTCCATGGCTCAGATAAACAGGCCAAATGAATATAAACTACTATTATTCTTTTTAATTATACTAATGTCTAATTACAACAGCTACAAATGACAGATCAGAGATCAGGTGAAAATCACAGACACGTGTATGTTTCAAAACTAAGGATGAATTTAGTGAATTCCACATGAGTCTCTCTCTCTCTCTCTCTCACACACACACACACACACACACACACACACACACACACACACATGTTCATTGTGCTTTCTGTGATGGGAGAAATGAATATAAAAGAGATTATAGCTTGATATATTTAATCATGTAAGATCCATATGTGGATGAAAATCTTCTAATAAACTGAAAGTGTGTGTGTAATGTAGTGTGTGTCTGTCACATAACACACCTTCTGTTTTCTCATCAGGATGACTCCTCTTCTTCTTCTTCCTCTTCTTCTTCTTCTGCTGTACCTCATCAGTTATAGCGGTCAGTGTCATTTATGATGATGATTATTATTTTTTAGTTCAAACTAAAAGTTCTAGTTTAAGTAGTCTTATTTATTTATTTTAATCTAGTTTACAAAAATAACTACTAGAATATTTAAGATCATATTGATTACAGAAAATAGACAAAACATTTATTTTTCAGTATTGATAGTTATATATATGTATGTGTGTGTGTGTGTCAGGAACAGGATCCTCCAGTATATCTGTGTCAGGATTAAAGGGAGGAAACGTCACTCTATCCTGTGGATCTGAGGACAGAGAGATTGTGGAGATCAGTTTATACAGTCTGTCGAAACACATCCCTGTGTGTGAGGAGAGAAACTGCAGCGGTCGAGTGTGTAAAGAAGGATCATGTGACGTCATCATCAAAGACCTGACCTACAGTGACGCTGGGAAATACTTTTTACATGTTTATTACACTAATGATCAGAGAGAAGTGGAGCGACTAATGCTGGAGTATAAACTTCATATTCACGGTAAAGTCAAAACTGATCAAACATCAGCATGTGTTTATGGTCTTCAAATATTGACACTCTTAGTTATAATGATGAATGTGTGTGTGTGTGTCCTCAGATGAGATCTCAGTGAAGAAAGCAGAGGATCTGAAGTTGGATGTTCTGTTGACCAACGCTGATAAAGTGGAGAGAAACTCTGGCTCCGGCTGGATAGTGCTGTGGAGGAGAGGTCACGGGGTCAGCAGTGATGGACTGAGCGTCAGTGAGCAGACTCTGATCATTCATGAGTTTACAGACACTGACACTGGATCATACAGAGTTCTGGACTCTAATAATGAAGCCTTGATCACAGTCACAGTCACAGGTGAGAGAACAGACCAGCACAAATATTATCTTTAATCAGCAAATTAATACGAAACTGCATCAATAACCTTCAATATTCTGGACACAATCTGTTCTAGACTGGAAGGAAAATCTGAGCGACACTGAAGAAGACAAAACTGACGACTCTGAACATCAACGTGAGTAAAACATGAGGCACTCTTAAACAAAATTCTTAAACGGTGAATAAAAAAAAAAAAACCTCTCTTCCCAATTTTCCTTCCTCTGTAGATTATTGGATGTTGCCGGTTGGGATTTTGGTTCTGATGGCTCTGATGGTTCGGACTGATTTTCTGATATTCAGACGTCGGCACAGAGATAACTTGAGGGGGGACTGAGGTACTGAGTTCAGGGATCAGTATTCAGGTCGATAGTGTAAATATGTGAAATGTAACATCAACATCATTGTACCTCACGTCCTACTGTGTGATTGTGTTTGATATGTGTGTGTTTGATATGTGTGTGTATGTTGTGTGTCCGGCCTCTAGGTGGCAGTAGTGCTGGTGTCTCTGCTTCTGTGCAGGTAAAGCCAGGTGAGGATGAGGATCAACTGTGCTGACGACTGATCCGATGGGACTGCATGGTCTTCGAGGAAAAGAAGAGTAAAGCCTCACTGATGTTTACTGGAGGAAGGCTTTTGTTCTCATGGCTGGTTTAGTTTGTTGATTCTGTTCACAGGGTTCTCAAGTCTCACGCATTGGCCGTGAGACACACTCATTTCGACCGGTTCACACGCTCACACGCCACACTGTGTATTTCTCACGCTGAAAAGGCAATGCCAACCAAGTTGTCCTGGCTGAAAGCTTTCTAACGTTGTATACGAGGCGCAGGCAAACAAAGTGAAGTTTCCTGCCGCCAGCGCGTATCTCCGCCAGATTGCGTTCGTTACTAGGCAACATATGCGCGCTGCGTGCACCACTGATCTATACATGACATGTCATTCAGTAGCGCGAACACACGCGGAAATCGAGGGAACATCCTCGGCCACCTTACGTTCGTTACTAGGTAACCAAAAACATCGCGCGAACACATGTGTCGTGATGGAGAAGAAGGTAAGTTGGAAGAAGCTCGTCTAACATTTTTGGGCTAGAACATTTAATATGTAGCCCATCGTACATTATTATTGATGCTGTCAAAAACTCTACAACTACTTTGCAACCAGGCTCAGTTTGGCTATCTTATGTTATCTGAAACTAAGAGAAATGTTAGTGGGTATGGAAAGGAATGAAGATTTACTGATTTTATTTTAAATTATATTATACTGTAATATTAATAGTCTTTCTAGTTACATTAAGGATGTATTACAGCAGATTGCTCTGGGTAATATTTAATTATTGTCATAATGTTGCATTTGTATTTTTCAAAGATGTCAGGAAAAAAGCAGAAAGATATTTTGTCATTTTGGGCACCAAAGGGTAAGCCCCCTAAAAAGGTTGCCAGATTAGAGGAGGAGACAGTGGAAGAGGTGGTGCACTCTAATCTGTCCATTTGTTCTCAATGTCCCACCACACAATAAATCATTCGTCTAGATAGAAGACGCATTAAAAAATCAAAATGCAATTTTTAAAGATTTGTTTGAAACTGATTGGAGCAATTTGTTATATTTTTGGTTAGCTATATTTGTAATACTGCATTAAAGAGTATTTGATGTGATGAATTGCTCTGTCATTTATCAGATTTACTAATTGTTATAATTTTTAATTTGTTCTGGTTAATTATGAACAATGGGTAAAATTGGGGGCGGGGATGGGTGGGGCGGGGCTTAATTATGGCTCCTCCCCTAACCGCGTGTGATCTCACTCCAAGCTTTTGCTCAAACTTGAGAACCCTGTGTTCATTGCTGCTGCTGTTCAGTTGTTATTTATTTCTAAACTGACCCATTTTATTTATTTTTGTTGTTCAAAGCTTGTATGAATAATGTTACGTTGATGTAGACACTAGTGATGGCAAAATGAGACTTCCTGAATCACTGAGACTTCACATGCTTCACCCAAAGGTTCATACTCGAAGCTTCATTCAGCATTGCTCACTACTGACAGTAACAGACACATGAATACATCCTGAGCCAATGACCTAAGCACACTTATGGAGTTTGTTTTATTTATTTATTTTCTTAATTAAGAAAATAAAAGACAAAACTGAAGTCATTGCGTTTGGAAACAAAGATGAAGTTCTCAAGGTGAAATACCTCGACACTAGGGGTCTAACAACTAAAAATCAAGTCAGGAATCTTGGTGTGTCTCTAGAGTCAGACCTTAGTTTCAACAGTCATGTCAAAGCAATAACTAAATCAGCATACTATCATCTGAAAAATATTTCAAGAATTAGATGCTTTGTTTCCAGTCAAGACTCAGAGAAACTTGTGCATGCTTTCATCACCAGCAGGGTGGATTACTGTAATGGCCTCCTCACTGGCCTTCCTAAAAACACCACAAGACAGTTGCAGCTCATACAGAACGCTGCTGCCAGAACATATGAACACATCACTCCAGTCCTCAGGTCTTTACACTGGCTCACAGTTACATTTAGGATTGATTTTTACTGGTATTATTACTGGTATATAAATCATTTAATGGGTTAGGACCTCAATATATTGCAGATATGCTCGCTGAATATAAACCCAACAGATCACTCAGATCATTAGGATCACATCAGCTAGAAATACCAAGGGTTCACTCTAAGCATGGAGAGTCTGCTTTAGCTATTATGCTGGACCAGCTTCCAGAAGAGATCAGGTGTGCTCCTACAGTATCACATTCAAATCCAGACTCAAAACACTTCTGTTTAGCTGTGCATTTACTGAATGAGCACTGTGCCACTGTTCGTCCGACTGTTACTGCACTTTATTTTATTTTTGATTCTAAATTGTTTTAATTGTTTACTGTATTTTATTTTTATTATCATTATTATTTATTCTAAACTGTTTTAATTATTCTGATTTATTTTGATTATTTAACTTTCTTCTATGTAAAGCACTTTGAATTGCCATTGTGTATGAAATGTGCTATATAAATAAACTTGCCTTGCTTCTTCTCAGTGTTAATGTCTGTAACCTTTCATTTGCAATAATAAAAAGACCAAATCAGACATTTTTCCATTGCCTTGGTATAAAATAAAATATGTATATTTCTCTTCTGAATTTACTAAGGCAGAGACAACTGTCTTACACACACACACACACACACACACACACACACACACACACACACACACACAGTTAATTAAATGGTTTGGATATGGACAGTATGAACAAAAAAAGTGACTTAAGATTTTTAAGTAGCTAAACTTCCTTTAACCGCAGACTTAAACTTCCATAAACCTGTAGACAAGTGGTCTGGATTATTAATAATTATCTCTATAAATTAAGAAACTTCATAATACCAATTATTGATTCAGCATTCCGGTTTATTTTCGCATCATAGGATTAAACAAACAGAAACTACTAATAACAAGCAGGATTTACATTAGTAAAACGTCCATGGTTGTGCAGGATCTGTATCTTCAGGTGTTGTACACAGCTCGTTCAGTGAGATATGGAAAAACTAAAGTAGGCTATCCCGTTCTTCAGCTGCTTTGTCCCGGAGCCTTTCCATTCACAGGATTGCTTCAAGTCCATTTCCATTTACTAACATTTTTTGTCCATTAAGCCTGACCTATATTACGTTATCATATTCTGTCATTTAAACTATATACAAAACATAAAATATTTAGGGCATCATTTGCTTCCAACTCTGTTGGTAATATTATAATAATAATAATAATTGTTGTTGTTGTTGTTGTTGTTGTTGTTACATTTACTTTATTGCTTTATTGCCACACTTTAATATGTAAATCATATCAGAAAATTAAACACATTCAGCATTGTCAGAATTTGATTTGGAGTTTGGCTGCTGTACATGTTACCTGCCACAAGACAGCGCTGTTGTATACACTTTTATGCTTCAAATCTCTTCCACAATCAATCCAATATTATGAAGCTGCAGACTCGGAGCCTGCATCTACAGCCCCCCACCGAGAGTCCCGCATTCTCAGACCCCTCGTTTTTCGAACACAGCGCCTCCTGCTGTTCAACAGATCGAATAACACCCGCACACAGAGTCCAGCGTACGGTTATCCAAATGCAATTAAAAACAACAGGATGCAATATTAACAGTCTCCAAATAAATTATCCAATAAATATTTGCGTTACCTGCTTAATGCATGTGCCAAAAAAAACTCATTGTAACAGATGGAAGGATACAATTACAGATCTATCTTCTGAAAAATAGTATACGATATTATATTGCTACAATGTTTTTTTTTATATTTGTTTTATTCAAATTCCAATTTTTCTTTCAGTTCAACCTATAATAGTCTAATTAACATTACGATGCTAACATTACAAAATCTGTTTTATGATATTTTGAATGCGAAGCAAAACAAATCAGAATAGACAAAACACCAATAATAAACAATTCTGTACTTTATTTAATGATCACCGAAACATCATCTTGCTGTAAAGAAAAAAGGAAGAAAAAACTGTGTTCGTGACTTTACGTTTCGTCTTCCATTGCATTAAAAAAAAACTCAAGTCGCTTTGCATAATCATAAAATGATATGTTGCTGGGTTAGGGGCAACTCCATTGATTGATGGTGTACCCTGGAATAACCTACAACAGTATAGGCCCGATAGCACATGTCTTATGATGTTTCAAAAAAAAAAAAAAAAAAAGAAAAGAAAAAGAAAAAAGATGTTTGCAAATGTTACCATGTTGCATTGCTCTGTTGAAATGTCCCTTGAGATGTTTTTGAACTTTGGACAACTTTGTGGGTTTGAAATAGCCTATATGGGGGCACAAATGGCCAGTGAAAATAACTGCAGCACTTATGACATCTACAAAAAGTCCAAGGATAAAGGCTAACGCTAGCCATCAAAATATTTTCGGGGGGAAGAGGGTGAAAAAAACATACATTAAGTTAACGGCTCAAATCTTGTTACAAACTATCTTATATTAAATGGACTATTCATAATGTTGTATCGACGAGCTAAATTAGTTTTATAAAAAAATAAATCAAACGAGTAGGCTACTACGATTCGCTAAATAAAATTGAAGATAGGTAGCCTACTCACTTTTTGGCTTAAGTTCTTCACATGTTATCCGATACAATTTGATAGGAGGCGCTGTCTCGAAAAACGAGGGGTCTGAGAATGCGGGACTCTATAGGTGCAGGGGGACTCTAGATGCAGGTCTCCGAGTCTGCAGCTTCATACTACTCAATCAATCAGCAAATCTTAAGAAAAGCTCAAAAGGCTTCATTTATCCATCCCTATAAAGTAAAGTGAGCAAAACTGAAACTGAAGGTATGAATCAGGCTTTTATGACTCACATGCATTGAGAGAGAGAGAGAGACATATATTACAGCAGGGGTTCTCAAACATTTTGGAGCCAGGGACCCCCTTACAGGGGAAAACAATCCAAGGACTGCCCTCATATTTATAACAGTGATTGAGCACAAAGTTAATGTGTGTGAGCGGCTAATTAAATATTTTTGCACAAATGGTCTCCACTCTCCACCCAGGGTCAGGAATTTCTAAATAGCCTACTGAGGTCCCAAAAGCAATCTTGCACTCATCACTTCAGGATCCCTCACTAAGGAATTTTTGATGTTCTTGATCTACACATGTGCAT